GTGCATGGTGGGCCAATTGTGTCATTGTTTCTGTGTTTCATGGTTGTTCTCAATTGAGCTGCGGCGGCCGGCCTGAGGGCTGGCGCGCAACAGCGCTCGCCACCATGTGGCTCCCCCTGTGCCGGGGGCCCTCCTTCCAGGTGCCTATGAGGCAGGGAGCGAGCCAGCCCAAAGACCGGCGCTTCCCACCTGTGGCTTCCCGTGTGCCTGGGCGCCTACAAGGCAGGGAGCCAGCGGGTCAGAAGACCGGCGCTCCCTGCCCGTGGCTCCCTGTGCACATACATAGTCTTTTTTTTTCTGGTACCGGGAACCAAACTAATGTCCTTCCGCTTGCCAGGCAGGTGCTGTGCCACTGAGCTAAATCCCCAGCACCCCCCAGCTTGGATTTCTTCATGTAAAACATGGGAGACCTTAGAGGATCTCCACTGCTGATAGACACATACTGCAGCCTGCTGGAATCTGCTATTTGTCCAGCTCCAGTTACCCTGGTAGCTTAGGGGGCATTTTCTGATGGGGTGGCTCCTGCATCCTTCTTACCCAACCTGAGAGAAATCAGTGTCACCAGTATCAGTTACCCCACCCCCACCTCACCTGGTGAAGAGAAACCCTGAGGATGCACTGCAAAAAGGCAGTCAGATGGTGGACCTAGAGGCTGCATGGAGGCTCCACTTTTTCCATTCCTTGACCATACAATGTGAAACTCCTATTCATGCTAGGCTGGCTCTATCCAACCAGTGTGAGGTTTCAGGGCTGCCACCATGGTTGTGTACCCAAGGCAAGACCCTTTGAACCTGTGAATCAGGTCTTGAGAGCTATTCCAGAGGTTAAACTTTCTCCTTTGCCCCCAAGAACCTGAGAGGAAATTCCAGACACTGTGACCCTTCTCCATTAAGCACTTTAAGCATATGTCACTTGAGAACAAGCACATAGGACATTCTCTTATGTACCACAACAGTTTTCAAATTCAGGAAATATAACTAGTGTGATACTATCATCTATTATATGGTCTATACACAGATTTTGCCGAATGGTCAGTTGTTTCCTTTATAACTTTTTTTCCCCCAAGATCTCCCCTTGTGTTTATTTGGTGGGTGTCTTTAGTCTCTGGTAGTCTAAAGTAGTTGTTCTCTCCTATCTGACATTGGTGGTTTTGAGGTGGATAGACCCATTTTGTTGACTGTACCTCAATTTGAGTTTGTCTCATGATTAGATTCAGTGTGTACATTTTTGGGCAAAAATTTTAAAAAAAATAGCGTAAGTAAGGGATGCATCTTTGTTAAGTACATCATATCAGGATATGTGATAACCATTATTGGCGATATTAACTTTGACCACTTGGTTCCGGTTGCAGCTTGCTTTTTACCAGCTGAGGTACACACACAGGAATTTCACTTAGTTTTAAACAGTTCTGTTGAGCTGTTTTGACAAATATACACACTCAGAAACCGTATTGTTCAATAATAAAAATTTTACAGTCCAGTATGTGTGTCTGCCCTCCTCCCAAGTTCTGCTCCAAAAGATCTTAGAGTCAAGGCACTGCATTGTTATTCCAGACTCCTTCCTAACACACACACTGTGCCACAACTAGGGCATGACAGTGAAGCTCTGCGGTGTGACCTTATCATCTTGGACAGTCTCTTACTGTGCCCGAGTGGGTAATTGTCAGCTGGTGCACCAGCCTTTGCCCGGAAGAGAGGGTAAGGGTCTCTGCTTCCCTAAG